CTTCTCTAATGAAACCGTGACGAAACGTTTCATTAGAGAAGAACCCGTCCAGAAGACCTATACAATTTTTTTCTTTTTGATTTTTTACCTGGATTACTGAGATGCATCAGGACATTTGCTTCAGAAAGTTTTATTTGCTCGTTTCTCATGACTTGGATATATTTTCCAGTAATTAACCCTCTCAAAGGTTGTTGGCAGTCCCTAGCTCTTGTCCAATAAATTTATTCCTGATAAAAACGATGTGCTGGATTGTTTTCCCCTCCTCAGAGATGCTTATCAGAGGTCCGAGGGCCACTCGTGGACTTGGGGGTCAGTGAGTACGGCATCTTGGCTGCCATTTCCACGCTGAGTGACACCCAGAACGACCTGGGTCTGAAGCAGTCCTCGAGCGGCTCGGAGTCCTGCTGCTCCGTGGATGAGATCGGTCTGTTCAGACAGATCGTCCTGGACCTGCGTGAGTTCAAACAGAAGATGAGTTTTATTACAGCTGAGATGGAGGGTTTTGAGTTTTATTTTGGGAATTTATAGTTTTATTTATAGTTTTCGGGTCTTTTAAAAACAAAACACTTTAGTGTGTTGAAATATTGTTAATAAAGCTTTTTTTTTCTTTTTTCTTTTTTTGCCTCAGAGCGATCCTTCCCAACCCACCGCTCTCTGATGGGAGACAGTCCAGAAGCTATCGAGGGTCAGGCTAAACTCTTCAGGGTCCTCATTGCTTATGCAAAATATAATCCCCATGTTGGCTATAGTCAAGGTAAGACTGACAATTACCTTTGAACCACCTTCTGATGCTTTTGTATTGTTTTAAAGCTGTGAGAACGTGTTCCTGTAGTTTTTATTGGAGGCTGCAGTTCTCAGTGTGACCAGCAGGTGGCAGCAGTGGACCGCCGAGGCTCAAAACTATCAATGTTTGCTCCAAAGAAGTTCTGAACAAAATGAGATGTTTATGTAATTTATCCTATTAGATTAAAATCACAGGTGTTGTTGTTAAAATTTGATTGTGAAGTCATTTTTTTCAAACACTTATTATCTTTAGAAACTCATAATCAGTCTGTTAAAGGGGGAAGCTCGTACTAAAGCCATTTTCATAAAGGTGTATGTGTCACAGGGATGTCCTACATAGCTGCTGTCCTGCTGATGCAGCTGGGAGAAGAAGAGGCCTTCTGGGCTCTCACAGCTCTGTTGGATAAAACTAAATATCTCTCTGAGCTGTTCGACCGCAGCCTCACCAAGTAAGAACCGTTAGATATGAATTAAATGTTTACACCTGAGAGAAATCCCTTATTGTGTTTAACTTATAAAACTTAAAAAAATTATATTTAAATTCATTCTTTTTATCCAATCAGTATATACAGTGTCTAATGGTTAGGCTGTTTTTACATTTATTCCACAGCTGCACAACTAAAGTGTTTTTGTTCTGTTTAGGGTCCAACATCAGGTGAAGGTGTTTGATCACTTTCTGAGACACAGGAAGCCTCGGTTCTCCAAGCACCTGGTGAGGAGTGATGAACAGAGCCTTACAGAAATGTTAGAGCTTATAATGAGTCTGAGCACTAAAAAAATAAATATTGTTCAAACACAGCAGTTAGAAATATGAGATCTCAACATCACACAAATGTGTTGCTTCAGTTTGTTCATCCACATTAAGCTAAATATTATTTGAACTACTGATTTTTAAAAATATATATTTTCTGTTTAATTCAGCCTGCTTTTTAACTATTGGGTAGTTTTTTATTTTTAATGTTTTAACTGAAATCTCTGCAGAATCTTACACATAAAAACCTTCATTTAACAACTTTCACTGTGCATAAAATTAAAAACTTCAATTTAATTTTCATAATATAAAGTTGAGAAATCCTTACTATTTTTCATTCTATAGCACCATATAAAACAGTTGTTTCAGCTTATCTAAACACTGTCACGCTTGTTTTTTATCATTTATATAATATTTTGTATTTTATAAATGAAGTTCGGTTTGATTGATGGAAAGAGGAAATTTTTAGCAACAAGTAAATGTTTGCAGTTTTTTTTTACTTTTCAGTTATTTTGCTGTTAAAACCAAAGATATGAAAAAAATAATAATTTGGTCAAACAAAAACTGCATCATACTCTGTTTTGGCTCCTCCACATATTACAGCATGTCTTGTCTTTTCCAGACCCACTCAGATTTATGTACTTTAATGAACCCTGTTTAACGACGGGCCGTTTCTTTTCAAAATAAAAGTCTTCCTTTACTGGAGAACATCTTCATCCCTGAAACACGACACTAATTGTCACAAAGTCACTTGAACGCAGCGTTTTGAGCTCAAACGTCTTTAGAAGGATTTTTATCCTCCGTGCTGACTCAGCAGGTCTGGCAGAAAAGCTGCCCACTCGTGCACACGCTGGTGTGGTTTGTTGTAAACACAACAGATTTGTTTTTCCTGGACAGAGAAAATGTGATTAGAGCTCATAAATCAGCATCTATATAACTAAACTGTTAAACACTTTATCCTGCAGAGCTGAGACAACAAAGGCTTAAAGTATTTTTAATCGAGACTGGAGTCCAGGTTTGAGTTTGTAAAACTTGTTCTGAATAATTTCTTATTGTCCCTCTTATTAGTTTTTATTATATTTTCCTCTGACAGTGAAACTGTTGTCATTAAACAGTTCAGCTGAAACAAACAAAGACGTCTTTGAGGAGTTTTTTTTTTTAAGTTTGCAGCTGAAGACTTTCTGAAAGTGGACATTGTGTGCATGGATGGTGAAACTGAGAGATTATTCTTGCTGAAACTAAACAAGCTTTGAAAACGTTTTTGTGTTTCCTGTCAAATCTTCCTGTTTTTATCAAACCCCCCTGCAGGACTCTGCGGGGGTCCTATCAGTCCACTTTGTCACGCCCTGGTTCCTCACTCTCTTCACTTCCCTGCCCTGCTGGGACTCTGTCCTGGCTGCCTGGGATCTCATCATGCTGCAAGGTCGGTACCAACGCACACATACAATCTGGTACAGCTATCTTTATGGGGACCTGTCATTGACTTCCATTATTTTCTACAGCCTAACCCTGACCACCAACCCTAACCCTAATCTCACAGGTTTACCTGACCTAAAACTAACCTAAACTCAATTCACACCTTGGTCCTAAACCTAACCCCCCACCTGTAATTTGCATTTGGACCCGTGGGGACTGGCATTGGTCCCCACGATGCACGTTCAGTCCCTAAAGGCTGCTTTTTCAGGAAAATTGTCCCCACGCTGTAGGAAAAACAAGGCCACACAGACATACACACACACATACATCCTTGTATTTGCATCAAACTGAGGACATTGTATTAACTTCCATTCATTTTTGTAACTGTATTTATGCCTAACCGAGATATTTTCCCTAAAATGAACCATTACTGGTCTATAGTTAACCCTAACCTGAACCAGAACTTAACTCACACCATACCTTTAAACATAACTGGTGAAGAACAGCAGAGCTGCAAACAAAGTGAGGACTGGAAAAATGTCCTAACTTTTCAAAAATGACCTCCCTTTGTTGATTAAAAATCTAACATGGTTCTCACTTTGTAGCCAACACACACACACACACACACACAAACATTTGTTTGTATCTCCATGGGGACCGTGGATTGACTTCCATTCATTTTTCTCGTAATTTTATAGCTTAACCCTTAACTTAAACTCAATTCACATCTTGGTCCTATCCCCCCCACCTGAAATTAGCATCCATACCCATGGGGTGGATTACTGTTCAGTTTGTTTATTTATTTTTTTAACTTGGGGTCCTCGGTGAAATAATCTGTGACCCCAAATGTCTTGATATCCTTTATCACTTTATAACTACACTCTTATTTAAACCTTAATCATTAATAAATGGTTCTCCCTGGGCTGCCACCTTATCGTGGTGGAGAGGTTTGAGTGTCCCAATGATCCTTGGAGCTATGTTGTCGGTAGGGTCACCCAAGGCAAACAGGTCCTAGGTGAGGGATCAGACAAAGTGCAGCCCAAAGACCCCTTATGATGAGTGCAACAGATCTTACCCGGACGTGGGTCACCAGTCTGGAGCTAGGCCTGGAGGTGGGGCACGTTAGCAAGTACCTGATCGCTGGTCTTTCACCCATGGAGCCCAGCTGGGCACAGCCCGAAGAGGAGACGTGGCTCCCCCTTCCCATGAGTTCACCACCTGTGGGAGGGGCCGTAGGGGTCGGGTGCAATGTGTGTTGGGCAGTGGTCGAAGACGAGGACCTTGGCGGTCTGATCCTCGGCTACAGAAGCTGGCTCTAGGGACGTGTAATGTCACCTCTCTGGTGGGGAAGGAGCCTGAGCTGGTGTGTGAGGTTGAGGTTTCGACTAGATATAGTTGGACTCATCTCGACGCACCACTCTGGCTCTGGAACCAGTCTCCTCGAGAAGGGTTGGACACTCTTCCACTCTGGAGTTGCCCGACTGACCACTACCTGGTGGTGAGTTGGCTCTGTGGGGGAAAGATGACGGTTTCCTGTCAGGAGCTTCAACTCACACCTCCGGGGGAACTTCAAACACGTTCCGGGGGAGGTGGGAGACATTGGCTCCGAGTGGGCCATGTTCCATACCTCCATTGTCGAGGCAGCTTACCTGAGCTATGGCCATAAGGTTGTCGGTGCCTGTCATGGCGGCAACCCTCAAACCGGCTGGTGGGGATGGTGCGCTTCTGACCTCAACTCAGGACGTTGTGGGTCGGTGGGCAGAATACTTCAAAGACCTCCTCAATCCTACTGACACATCTTCCCATGAGGAAGCAGAGACTGGGGACCCTGGGTCAGACTCTCCAATCTCTGGTGCCGAGGTCACTGAGATGGTTGAAAAGCTCCTCTGTGGCAGGGCGCCGGGGGTGGATGAGATTCGCCCGGAGTTCCTTAAGGCTCTGGATGTTGTGGGGTTGTGTTGGTTGACGTGACTCTACAATATCGCGTGGACATCTGGGGCAGTTCCCCTGGATTGGCAGACCGGGGTGGTGGTCCCTCTATTTAAAAACGAGGACCACAGAGTGTGTTCCAACTATAGGGGGATCACACTTCTGAGCCTCCCTGGTAAGGTCTATTCAGGGGGTCCTGGAGAGTAGGGTCTGTTGGATAGTCGAATCTCGGATTCAGGAAGAGCAGTGTGGTTTTCGTCCTAGTTGTGGAACAGTGGACCGGCTTTACACCCTTAGCAGGGTGCATGGGAGTTCGCCCAACCAGTCTACATTGTTTTGTGGACTTGGAGAAGGTGTTCGACCGTGTCCCTCGGGGACTCTTGTGGGGGGTACTCAGGGAGTATGGGGTACCAGGCCCGTTGATACGGGCTGTTAGGTCCCTGTATGACCAGTGCCAGAGCTTGGTCCACATTGCTGGTTGTAATTCGGACTTGTTTCCGGTGAGAGTTGGACTCCACCAAGGTTGCCCTTTGTCACTGCTTTGTGGACCAATCCAGATGCTCAAAACGTGTTTGACATAAATGTAGCATTAGAGAGTATGAGAAGCTCAGTCATCCAGGAGGGACTCAGAGTAGAGCTGCTGCTCCTCCACGTCGAGAGGAGCCAGTTGAGGTGGTTCATCTGGTTAGGATGCCTCCTGGACGTCTCCCTGGTATGGTGTTCCGGGCACGTCCCACTGGGAGGAGACCCAGAGGAAGACCCAGGACACGCTGGAGGGACTATGTCTCTCAGCTGGCCTGGGAACACCTTGGGATTCCCCCAGAGGAGCTGGTACAAGTGGCTGGAGAGAGGAAAATCTGGGTCTCTGTTTAGGCTGCTGCCCCCGTGATCCGATCCCGGATAAGTGGAAGAAAATGGACGGACGGACATTAATGAATGCTTCGTTAACTTTGAAAACAGCACTATTTAAGGATTTAAACATTTTGACTTTGTTATTTATACATTATGTTTTTAAAATTCTCTCCTTCGGTCCATTTCTTTACAATTTCAGAGCAATTTCAAGCTGTATCTTTCACATAGACTAAAATATACCAAACTGAGTCATCCATAAATTGATGTCTGGAAATCACCTGGGGACCCTCACTTGATGTTTCTTGACCCATAAAGGGGGCCCGACCCCAACTTTGGGAACCATGATGCCTTCATGTTTAACTAACCATTTCTTAATGACTAAATAAGGCATTATAAAGTTCTTCCTGAAGTTTCTTATACTTTAGTTTTAACCCTGACCTCTGACCTCCAGGCCTACCAGCTGTGTATCGTTCAGCTCTGACCATCATGGAGCTGCTGGAGCCTCGGCTGATGGAGCTGAACGATGAAGGAGCCATGTTGCCTCTCCTGCTCAGAGTACCTGTGGACGTGTAAGTGAGCATTTTATATCCTACTGAATGTTTGAAACACAGACATGTTCATGTTTCTGTTGTTAGTGTTTCCTCATGTTTCTGTTGGATTTCTGGTATTTCGTTGCGGACCCAGACTGTCCACTAAATCTCTGACGTGCAGAACAGTTCAGAGTTTTTTAATCCCAACCCAAAATAAAACTGCAGGCGTCTTGTGAATATCAATCGACTCGTCAGAAGCCGAAGATGCTTTGACACCAAAAATCCAGAAAAAAAAGGACGTCCTTGTTTGTCTGAGGATGTTTTGTTTGTTTGTACAAAACATCTTTTCAGTGAGTTCGTTCTTTCAGCGGCGGCCCATGCAGCTGTCAGTCAAGCTGTGTTGGGTGTGAATGTCACACGCCTGCAGACGGGTTTTGTTGACATGAAGCTGTTGTCATGGCAGCTTGGTAAGCCCGTTGCTTTTGTTCGCGCTGTTTTTTTTTATTTTTGTGATAGTCTGGTGCAAAGTATTATTAAAACACCTCGTTCAGCTGTTTTAATTTAACTTTGTTTAGCTTTAACAAAACGAAGATAATCCAGGACAAAACGTCTGCAAAGTGAAGCTGTGATTGAGCAGAAAGAAAGTAAATGTTTGTAAAATTAGCTTTATTTATAACTCATTCAAACTGCTTTCTGCCTTATTTTCATTTGCACTGAGGAAAGAATATTTTGTTTTTAAAAGAGGACATTTGGATGCACTTAAAAAGCATCAGTTTGTTCATGAAGCATTAATGTCCGCTGTGACAAACCTGTTTTTGTTCTGGCTGCGGCGCTCGGCGGGCAGCCTGCCATCACGTCACATTGAGGAGTCCTTGTTTCCTGCCTGGCTTTGTTACCAAAGGTTGGTCAGAAGTCAGCAGTAAGTGGTGAGAGCGGCTCTCAGGGCAGGATCTCCTTACACTGGGAAGATCCTGACGAAGAAAGGCTGGGAAACAAGCGATGAACGGAGGGTCGGAGAGAAGTGGCTGAAAAATGTTTTTACTAAATGCTGAGGTCAGAAAGCAGAAATGAAGGACAGTAATGATGTAATGATGTGATGTCTACAAACCCATCATCATTTAAAGTTCAGCTTCTGCTTTTAGTAATTCTGATGTTTTTTTAATATAATTTTTAGTGGGACACCTCATCAAAACATCTAAGTTTGATTTGTTTATTTTTGACAATCTTAAAACAGTTGTTTCACTTATTGACAGAAATCGACCGTTTCTCTTGTTTTTAAACTTAGATTTACACAATTTGATTAAAAAGTTCTGTTTTTATTCAGCTTTGTGTGGTGCACAATGATGAAAGAAATGATGATGTAACATTTTAATAATAATAACTAGATACTGCACAGTGGTATCATATATGACCCTCACACACCAGAACTCAATCAGAACGGATTTATAGTTTTGGGTGGTGGTCTGGAGGGGGCTGGGGGTGAATGTTGGTGGGCCTGATGGTAGCCCTTCATCAGAGCTAAACAACAAAAATCTGAAGCTCCTGTAGTTTTTGAGTTATAAGCATTTTTGTATGTCCAGACACCCCCGTTTTCAGATGGAGCCCCCTCCTCAAATATGGGGTCTATCATAAAACCGTTGGCTGGCGCAGTGTAGCTCGGACACATTTACAGTCCTGCCTGATTTCGTGTTGATCCGTTTGTTTGCTACAGTTGACCAAAAATCGCAAAAATACATAAATAATCAATAATTTCATTCATTAAAAAAACAAGACAATCTCTATACAGTTAAAAAGAAAAATTCACAAACGAAAAAAGTAAATCATGACCTGAATGAAAACAATGCAAAGTGAAGAAAAAAAATCACATTTTCAAAAAAACAACTTCAACAAACAAACTGAAGCCGGAACAATCTCTAAATGAAACAAATTAATTGAAACAAACAGATATCCTTCATATCTTTATAAATACTACAAATGGTATCATATTTTCCCATCTTTTGAAACAAATACATGTTTTAGATGCTTTTATTTTAAAATCAAGATGATTCCACAAACCTCAGTTCAAAATGAAGGTTTTACAAAACTTAAACTCAAAACGACTTTCTCTCTCAACATGAATATTCAAAGGTAATATTTGAATATGAGCTTTATGACTTTAAAACACTAAAATCAACCAAACCATGAAGCTTACAACATGAGTTTATCGTGTCATGAATAAAAGCTCTGATGCTGTCGTGACTTTATTTTAACGCAGCAACTAAATAATTTCTCAAAAATCTGCTCGAAGCTCAAACTGTGCTCCTCTGTGTGACTAAATCATCTCAGGAAACCGCGCAAATTACTTTCAAACTTTCTGCTGCACTTTGTTGCAGGATGAACCGTGCGCTCCCACAACAAGCTGCCCTCTGATTTATTCAGATCTCTTTTTTTAAACATCAGTTTTTTTGTTGTCTTGTGTTTAGAGCTGATGTCTCTGTGCTCTGCCCACGCTCTGCTTTTTTACTCTCAGCTTTTCTTTATTTTACATTCCCCTCCTCCCTCTGGGTTTCATTTCTGTGCCCTGTGTCCCGCTCTGTCCTCGTCCCTTATTGTCACATCGACGCCCTCGTTCAGCTAAAGAGGTTGACACAGGTTTTTAAATTTTAAATTGAACATTTCACGTTTTCAGAATGCTCTGGATCAATTGTTTTTTAATTGATGATGATGATGATGATGCTTCAGGGTTGTTCCCATCTATAAATATAAATTTCTTTCCTGCAGAGGTTTTATTTTCTGTAACTTGCATACGCCACTTTTTACACCAAGGTTGTGATATATAAAATCCAAACTTGACGTGTAAATGTGCGGTGCCTCATAGCTCTGACCCATGCGTACGCTCATTTTGGAGACGTGAAACTGTGACACAGATGGTGAAGTGAAGAATTAGAGCCTCACTGTGTAATGATCACTGTCAGAGATTTAATTTACCTTCAGAATCAGACTTAGATTTTTATTCAACTTTATCATCAGCTTTATTAACAGTAACATTTATGCTTCTGCTGCTGCTGCTGCTGCTGCTGCTGAGCCATGAGGACCTTTGAAATAAAAAAACTTAAATCTTAAAAGTTCTCGTGTGCAACTCCATTCATCTGCTTCCTCCTCAGATGACCCTGACCCACAGACCCCTCCCTGACCCACACAGACCCCTCCCTGACCCACAGACCCCTCCCTGACCCACAGACCCCTCCCCGACAAGAACAGCAGGACAGCAAAAGTCACGCTTTGGATACACGCGCAGGGCGCATTCACCTCGCCAGTGTAGATGTTATAAAACTTCACGTTTAAAGTCCGTATTTGTCATGCATGCAGTGTGTGTCTGTGTGTGTGTGTGTGTGTGTGTGTGTGTGCGTGCGTGCGTCTGCCGCGGATAACAGAGCAGGCAGGAGGAGGAGAGGACGAGGAGAAGAGCAGTGAACTCATTTCTAATTTTATCTGACTTATTTAATTTTACTTTTATTGTTTTTATCATCCTGCAGGCTCTGAGAGAAAATTAATTTGAAGCTGTGTATTTTTTTTATTAAAATTGTTAGATTACTCTAAAGCAAAATGAGGGAAAATCTGTGTCAATTACAGACATTCTGTTCACGTGAGCAGCTGTCAGTCAGCACCTGTCATCCTCCAGACGCACGACGGAGCGTCTGAACCAATCACTTTTGTTGGCATTGATCAGCTGACTGATTTAAATACATCTTAACATTCATGAGGTACTTTATGTTGAGTGTGGGCGTGTAGAGGGTAGAACCTGAGGCGGGACCTCGTGCGCAAACTCTGACGTGCGGCTGTGATTTATAAAGGAAAGATGCGCAGAAACGTGCGTTCGCACGGTTATATAAATCAGAATTTTTTTTGGCGTACGCCATTTCCRCCTTTTGGCCGTACGTTCACTTTTAGTATGGTTTCCACGCAATCCTTTATAAATGAGACCCCTGGTCTGTCAAAGCAGAACAAGCTCCTGAACAGAAAAGATTTTTAGGTTGAAGTTTTTTCCGAATCAAACAATAATTAAAAAAAAAAAAAACCTGTGGTTTTAAACACGTCTTAAAGCTATCAAATAACCACCAAACTGAGCCAAAATGCAGAGTTTGTGGTTTTATGTGTCTCCAGCATGATTGTGTAAACATGTTGGCCCACTCTTCTTTACAACGTTGCTTCAGCTCATTCAGGTTTGTGGGCGTCTGTTTATAGTTCAGTGTTTCAGTCGGGTTCATATTTGGATAATTTAGGTTTTTTTTTTTCAGATTTGTGGATTTTCTGATGTGTTTTTAGATTTTTGGGTCAAACTTTATAAACGTTTCTTCATTGCAGCCATCTTTTTCCTGCTCACTGTGAAACCAGGAAAACTACATTTTCAACCCAGTCCTTAGCTCATGTGCTCATTTTTTATTTCTTAAAGATATGACTGTTTTTTTTACTAAATATATTCAAACAAAGCCTCGCTGCTGTTTTTATCTCAGCTCAGCTCTGTATCGTCACTGTTGTCCCGTAGAGCCCAGTACACCGTGTTCGCTCCTGCCCTGTGGAGAGCTGAGCTACAGGACTGGGAGCTGAAGTGTCTGAACAACCTGGTGCTGGACGAGGGCCACCATGGACCTGAACCAGGTACACACACACACACCCACACACACACACACACACACACACACCACACACACACCACACACACACCAGGCTTTTGTTCTCAAGCAGAAACTGGGCGGAGCTAGAAAGCCACTCTGCAGGGCACTTTATCAAACTCTTTGTTTTGAAACTTTTCTGCAAACTTGCCTTTTTCTTATAAACAACATATTTTCTGTATTTCTTTCTTCAGCCTAAACTTGTTCGTGCTGAAAACTTGTTTTTTTATTATTATTCTGTAGTTCTAGTTGAGCAGACCAACTTGATTTCCTGTTTTCAGCCACTTCAGTTGTTCCTGTAGCTCAGAGGTTCTCAAACAGGGGTGCCCTCAAAGAATTAAAATTTGATTTAGGTTTTTATTTTTAGTATTGTATGTGGAACAATGTACAAGTAAAACAAACCAAACAAAAACTAATTATGATTCTCGTGGCTTTTGGGGGTTTAAATGTCTATAAATTATTTTTAAATCAAGACATTTATGAGGGGGTCCCTGGAAGCTTTTCACCTTTTGTAAGGGGTCCCCAGAACCGAAATGTTTGAGAAACCCTGCTGTAGCTTTTTTTCCTTTTTTTTGACAGCCCTGCTGACAAATGCTCACAAGTTTTGCTTAGAAACTTTTATTTTGACATATTATTGTTGATATGAGAGGAAGTCGTGTGCATTTTGATCCTTTAAGATTTTTTTTCAGTCTTCTTAACTTTGATTCAACTACTTTTTCATGATTTACCTTTAACTTGGTTTTGTTACCTCCGCCAAGGAGGTAATGTTTTCAGTCGCGAATCTGTCTGTCTGTCATTCTGTCTGTGGACAACATTATTCAAAAACTTGTGGACGGATTATCATGACATTTTTACCACATGTGGGTACTGAGCCAAGGAACACACCTTTTACATTTTGGTGATGTTCCGGATCATGATGCGGATACAGGAATTATTTTTTATTTGAATCCTCTGAGATCGGCAAAGCTGTGATGCTTTCACAGGGCTTCTGTAAGAAAAACAGTGAAACCGTTCAGTGTTCATTTGAACTGCATTGGACAGCACGAACTTCAAGCTTTATAAAAGTAATGTTAAAACCAGATGTAATGATGAATAATTTTGGCCATGATCTGTGCATTTAGAGAACGTTTTGTGACCAGGAAGTGCGTGACTGCACCATAAAACCTATTTTTCCCATTTCCGAAACAACCAATCAAAATAGTTTGTCTCTACTAGGCTTGTAAACAGAGAGCTGCCGGGCCTCAAAGTTTGGAGACGGGGGGAGCCAGGAAGCACTTTATAAAGAGAGTCAAACCATTACAAACTCAAACAAGGGGATAAAACAGAGGTTTTACATGGTGAAATGTGACTGATGAAAACTTAGGAGCTTAATCCCACACCAGTTTGACCATGAATAACGTTGGGTGACCAGTCTGACTTTTGTTTTTTCACATTGGACTCCACAGAGAAGAAATCCCGTGCATACTGCTGCTTAAATGTTCACTACGTCAGAACTTATTCAGCAAATGTCCTGATGCATCTCAGTAATCCAGGTAAAAAATCAAAAAGAAAAAAATTGTATAGGTCTTCTGGACGGGTTCTTCTCTAATGAAACGTTTCGTCTCTCCTCCAAGAGACTTCTTCAGTCTGAGAGTTTCAGGCAAAATTCAGGCTTTTAAGCCCTGCCTCCATGTGACTGATACTCACATCACATGGCTATCGTTGACACCTAATTAACACTTATTGTTAACAGGGGGTGGAGTGATACAATGGCCACGCTGTAGGAGGGGGACAACTGAAAACGGAGACCTCCACCTCTGTTTAATGATGGACGGTCTTTCTTCACAAAAATGGCTTCTCTTATTCAGCAAATGTGTTTCCATCTCTGCTTTTGCGCATTAACTCTTACAAGATGGAGGAAATTGGTCTTGGCGGAGGTTTGCACTCTCCGAGTGCTTCTAGTTTTTGTTAAAGATTCTTTTAGATAAAAAAAAAAGAAAAAAAAGATTCTGTTAGATAAAATGAAATGAATGTTTTTGGATGACCCAAAAGAAAACATTTGTTTTTTGAGTTTGGAATCTGTAGCAGACTGATAAAGTTCCTGTAACAGACTGCGTCTGTGTGTGTGTGTGTGTATGTGTGTGTGTGTGTGTGCACAGCTCTGCAGATCAAAGACGCTCCCGTCTTTTTGAAGGTTGTTCAGATATCACCCCCACAAGATCTGCGAGACCCTCTCCACTGGAGGCTGATCCTCACAAAGGACAGATCGGAATGCAGCTCTCTCGTGAGCGTGCACGTACGCGTGCACTCGTGGGTTCATCCTGACAGGCGCAGAAAGGCTAATGGATGAGTCACATGTTTGTGGCTGCAGGGCTGAGTGTGTGTGTGTGTGTATGTGTGTGTGTGTGTGTGTGTTAAAGTCAGGGTTATAAATGTTAAAGTTTAGGCTGTATTTATTGGTAAATACTTTATTAGTTTCTGTTTCCACACTGAGCTCGTCAAAGTGTCTGTGGAGAGATGAGTTCAGTCTGTTAGCGGTGCAGAGGAGCAGACAGCTGCAGAAGCCAAAGCTGCATGTTTTGCAGCGCAGCTAATCCATGGCTGTGAGTGACAGTGAATCAGGATGAGTCATCCTCGGCTGCTGGCCTGACAGACTCCGTCTCGCCCTCGAGTCAGCCGGGGAAGTTGAGCTGATTCATCCTCTGCCTCTCTGATGCAGCTTTATTAATCTGTCACTCCTCCTGCACTTTTACTCTCTTTATTCATGAAACCTGCCGTCTTCAATTTAACACAACTGTTTGTCCCTCCCGTCTAAAACGAATTACTAGAGCTTATCGTGTTTTTCTCTTTCATCTTGAAGCGATGCTGAAGAGGGTTTCTGTTATAAAATCAGTTTTTATGGCATCAGATGTCACTTTTTAGATTTCATGAATTTTTTGTAAACATTGTAGCTTTTAATGCTGTCATTTCTAGGGCTGCAACTAACGATTTATTATAAACTATTGATTAATAGTTTGATTAATCAATGAATCATAAAAAAAGTTTTTAATTTTGACCTCTTTATTCCAAAATAAAAAATGTGGACTGATGTATCAGACTGCACAAAAAACAGCTTAAATTTTAATGCATAAATAAGTAAATATTTGTCAATTAGTTTCAATAAATCAATAAATGTACACACAAATCTACACAATTGTGTGTTATATCCTTAGTCTTTTCATATTTTCTCTCCTTTTGTAAAATGTGTCCCTGAGGGAAGAGTGTAACCTGAAACACGTCAATTTGGAAAAAAAATTAAGTTTTTCGACAAAATGTTTTTGTGCTAGGATGAGGTGGTTTTTCAGCCGTGTAGAAATTGGTGTTTTTCACAAAACTGCAATGGAAACACTTTTTTTCTCATCAGAAGAGTGACTTGATCAACAACAAGCTGTTTCTACTGGCAAAAAGACGAAGAAAAAGAAGATAACAGGAAGTAGAAATAGTAGTAATATCACAGAAGTAGTATAAAATAGTAAACTCACCGACTACAATTTCCCAAAAACACAGCATACATAGCCGCTCCCAAGTAGGGACTTGTCTCTGGAAAGCCTCGATAAAAGACGCCGACGTCTCCTCTGATGATGAGCGCTAGTGTCGTGGTAGCAACATGCTATGTGTTTACATCCATCGCTGCCATGTTTGTAATGACTTATCACAAGAACAAACGTATTCACGCATGACTTTAATAGCATTTCTTACTTAATGGAAACACCACAGTTGCAAAACTGTTTTTCAACATTAACAGAATATCAACAAAGTTTTGTGCACATTGGCAATGGAAACGCAGTCAGTGACACCATGTTAAGACTAGAGTGATTACATTCATTATTTGCAGTATTACGTTAAAGCAAGTGTCTTCACTCAGACATCATCAGCAAAGTAAAACTTGAAACTCAATCATTAAATTAATACCATCAGAAATCACCTGACACAACAAACCCATAATGAAATTTGTTGCCAACACTTTTAATAATCGATTTTTATTGATTGGTTGTTGCAGTTCTAGTCATTTCATCAAATAGACAACATGAAAGATGTAAAGATTTATTTCCATCAATCTGGACCTGTTTCAAAAACTTCATGTTTATATTCTAGTGGTCCTAAAGCAGGGGGCTCAAACTCCTTTTAACCGAGGGCCACAGGAGCATTACAGTGGTCCTCAAAGGGCCAGTTGTAAACTTTGACGTTTCATATTTAACTTCAACTAAACATGAAACATGTTCCTCGTCTCATTGCTACAACTGAGCACCGTTAAACAACAACTGAGCTCTACCTGGTATTTTCTGCATAGAAACAGTCTTTTAACACGTCTGCTTATAAACACTGAAAGGTACTACGAGTACGACTGACTAAATGTGAAATAAATACTACAGAAATACTATTAAAAGTAAAAGTTTGAGAGTTTTACTCACTGAGTTGTGGTGAGTAGCTGCAACCTTAAATTCTGAACTCTCCCACTTTCCTACAGGGAGTTCCCACTCATAATCACATGGGTGTAATTTGCGGCGGGGTTGTGGGGCCCAGATGGTTGTCACCCACAGGCCACATTTGGCCCGCAGGCCTTGAGTTTGACACGTGGCTTAAAGTGTCTGTGACTTAAGCTTTTCAAGATAAATGCATGATGGGAAAAATAACATTAATAACGTGTTGCAACAAATTCTGAGATGAACAGATTGAGTTACTTTACATTATTTTGAGTCACAATCAGGGAGATGAAGGGTCAGAGTTCCTTCTGCTTCCAAATGAAATATAGGTTTAAATATATGCTCTATCATCTTTGTACTTGTCTCTAAATTAAAATCTGCAGTATACCTTAACAGCTTTTATATCTAATCCAAGCAAAGTAAATGGTTTGAGACACTTATTGTCCCAATAACAGGAAGTGTCCAGTGACCGTCCAACATTCAGCTGAGTCAGCGTTTAAAGGCCCAGCTGATGTGATTTCTAAGAATGGATGTTCGAAGATGT